GCAGGTGTAACCACTTTAGAGCTTGAAATCTAGTGGGTATTTCTATATATCAGCAATGGACATTTAGAAGGTGACTATTGCAAATGATAACATTTATAATAGCATCAAAAAGCATCAGTGCCCAGGAGTAACAAAAAAAATACAAGACCTCTATTCAGTAAACATGGAAAGAAATGCTGTATGTCACTATTGTGAAGATGGATATGGTTCTTTCCAAATTTAGCTATAGATATAGGGCAGCTTCAAAGGAAATCTTAACAGGTATTTTTGTGGAAATTGACAAAGTGATTTTTAAACGTATATGAAAATTAAAAGGGCCAAGAATAGTCAATATAATATTGAGAAAACAGAAGGAAAGAAGTTGGAGGACTTATCACATGGCAAGATATTATAAAGCTGCAATAATTAGCATGGTGTTGGCACAAGGGTAGACAAGTAGATTAATGAAACTAGAGAAGCCTTAAAGAGGCCCACACATGTGTCACCTGATTAATGACAAAGGTGACATGGAGTGTAGCAGAGAAACAAGGCCTTTTAAGTAAATGGTGCTAGGTCAACTAGATCTCCATATAGAAAAAATTAATTTTGGCCAATACCTCACACCATAAACAAAAATTAGTTCCAGATGTACTCCAAGTCAAAATGTGAAAGATAAAACAATAACTTTGTTAGAAGAAAACAGCTGTTAACTGAAGAACATGAGGAGGTTCATAAATTTGGAAGGGAGAGCTTTATTTCTCATAAAGGGTTGCAGCCTATGGGTGGCCTTTCTGCCTGGCTGGGAAGCAGAACTGCCCCTCCTCCCCAGAAACCAGGAACATGTGCTTTAATGGAGGGAGAATGGGAAGAGGAATTTATGCTGAGTGGGGTGGCCAAATATGCATATTGAACATGTTATAGAAGGAGTCATGAATATTTATTAAAGGAGAAACATATACAAGTGCAATTGAGCTTATACCCTGAACATGGGGTCCATGTTCAGAAAATTAGGGTCCCTCTGATGTCAAAAGGTAAAGCAAGGACACAAAACCCCTTACTGTGCCTATTCTGTAGACTGGTTAAAACCACTCCATGGTTGGTGGGCTCCTGTTAGGAAAGAATGCTGCTTCGTTGTAGTGCTGAAACTGCAAATAGTGAGGAGTAAATCATGAAACTAGTTTCTGTTTAGCCCATAAGGAAAAAAAGCCTGATGGTCATTAGCAAGGGAGGGGGTGTATTGAGGTGTGTCTGACCCCCCCCCATCCTATCATGGCTGGAATTTCAGTTTTAAGGTTTTTCTGGGGTCCCCTTGGCCAAGAGGGGGCTCTGTTCAGTCAAATTGGGGCTTAGGATTTTATTTTAGTTCACACAGCATTTCTGCGTGACCTTGGGGTAGGTAAGAATTTCTTAAGCTTGATTAAAAAAACACTGTCCAAAGAAAAGATTGATAAATTGGTCTGTATTAATGTTAAGAACCTCTGCTCTTCCAAAGACCAGTATGGAGTGAAAAGGCAAGCCACAGAGAAAATATTTGCAATATGTATATCCAGTAAAGGACTTATGTTCAGAATGTGTAAAGAACTCCATCAAATAAATAAAAAGCCATTCAGACTAATAAAAAATGGGCAAAAGGCTTGCACAGGCACCTCACTAAAGAAGATATTTAAGTGGTCCGTAAACATATATGAAAAGGCACCCAACTTCATTAGTCATCATGCTGTATAATCCCAGTGCAGTGTCAACGTACACCTAGCGGAATGGCTCCACTGAAAAAAGCAAAGAGCACCAGTGTTGGAGAGGCTGTGGAATGGATGGAATTCTCAGACCATGCCACAAGGCTTTGTATAGGCCACTGAACCTCCCCAAGCCTAAGTTGCTGTCTTGTCTTGTGCAGTGGTAACAACGTACACATCCCCAGATTGCTGTGAGTCTGAAGGTCATGTGAAGCCTTCACACATAGCCAGGCACATAGGAGCTCCTAGAATTTTCTTTTCAGGTGTTACGATCTTGGCCTTTCATTATTGTTGCTGTAAGGGCCTTGTAGCAATTACTAGGGGTTTCTTTCCCCCAGAGATTATTTAATGAAAGCAACAATAATAGTATCTAGCACTTGTAGCGTACATAGTAACTGCCAGTTTAATTATCTGTCTTTTATTTGTTCCTCCTAACAATACCGTAATAGGAAAGTAGAAAAGTATTTAGGTACTGTTGCTGCTCCCATTTTATAGGTGAGATAACGGGTGCATAGAGCTGAATTAACTTGCTTAAGATTACCCAGCTATTCATGACAGGTGATGGAGATGTGTTCAGACTCTGGCATGCTAGCACCAGTGTCTGTAATAATCCCTCTAGTGCCTTTCAGAAAATAACCCAGGCTTTCCACTTATTGCTCTGGTTTCTGTGGACCTTCCCATCACAGCTTCTCCCCTGAGGTCCTCTTTCCCTGTTTGGATCCAGCCTGATCTCTCCTTCCTACGTTCCTGGAATAGTCTTTGTATAATGTAGTGAGGATTTTAATGGCTTGCGTCATAATGACCACAGGATAATAATAGCAGCTGACCGTGCCACTGTTGAGTAAGGGTCAGTTGCAGGTGCCGTGCTTGGCACTCTCTGTGTGCTATCCCATTGACCTCTGGGACTTCCCATCGAGGACGCCTCAACTGTTAGCAGCATCCTGTAGAATCTGAGCTGCGGAGAGGTGAAGTGCCTTGTCCAGCACTACAGTGAGGAAGTAGCAGTGCCAGGGATCAAGCCCAAGTCCATCAGAACCCAGAGCCTGAACTCTTCACCACAGCTCTGTGCTGTCACTTGTGTGTGTGGTGCTTGGACCCTTGGCGGTGTTCAGTCTGTGATGCTCGGATGTAACAGTGTTCATGAAGACTATCCCCTGCCCCATCCAGCATGTGTTGAGCACCTGCTGTGTACCTGACATTTGGAGTATTAATATATTGGGGTCACCAAGAGCAATAAGATGATGCTGCTGACCTTGAGGAACTCAGGTCTAGTAAGGGAGGCAGGTCATTTCAAATCAGGGTGGTCTCTGCAGTCCCAAGGTCAGGTGAGGGAGGAGATGTGTTCTCTAAGGAAGGCTTTACCAAGAGATGCCTGAGCTGGGGTTTGAAATACAAGTAAGAGTTCGCTATTCGATGAGGGTACCAAGGACATTCTAGGCAGAAAGCCCAGACAATTGAAGTCAGACCTGGTCCTAAAGATTTTAAACTCTCATGTCCTTGTTGCAGGTCTGCAGGGCAGACCCACTCACCCAGGCCACTGCCTTCCTTTGAGCCAGGAGTGTGATGCTAATGGATATCATTGTATACATAGAAGAAAATTCCAGAATGAGGGAGCATCTGCCCCTCCCCAACACTGCCAGCAATGCCTTGTCCCTGGAGGGTGTCAGGCATCCTGTGGACTGCATGGAGAATGTCACCGATAGCCACAGCTGGCATGGTGCAGTGGCTGTCAAACTTCAGTGGGATTGGGGCCCTGCACCTAAACGTCAGGATGTGGGATAGGGAGCAACAGGTGATTCTAATGCAGGAGGCTTGTGAACCCCAATATGAAAAACTCTGCCCTTGAGTATTTTGGGGAAGATGTACTAGAGGCAAGATGAAGACACACAGATTTATGAGTGGGTCCCCCTGCAATTCATCCCAGCATGACTCAAGTGCTGTAGAGTTACTGTATCACAGAGGGCAACTGGCCTCGTGCTTCTACATTTGGCCCTGTCCATAGATTTGGACACAAATGGCGGAGGATTTATGTATTTGGAGGGATGTTCTAGCTATTGCATGTTAAAAATTGCGTGCCATTTCTGATGAGTTAAATTAATTAAATGCTTGATTATATTGTCTTTAAAATAGACAGCAACAGTATTAGCTAAGCCCCAGCCCCCTAAAGCAGCAGTTTGCTCCTTCTTGTTCCCTCTGCACCGTTCTACCTCTTTATATCTCACCCGTTTGTAGAGATTATAGATGGAAGGATTCCATCTCATCTTTCCCTGCCTTGCTCTCACTAGCCCTTCTCCCTCACCAAAACTGAAGATGGACATAAACAAAATCAGGAGGTGACTTTTCCTGAGTCATTTCCTCTTGGGTGTCTTCTTTTCCTTTCTAAGCCTGCGGCTCCCTTGGCAGAAGTTACCTGGATCTGTGGGCCCTGGAGGAGTGTCTTAAAAGCTGTGTCAGGTGGCACTCTCAAGGCATCCAGCCAGGCTGCTGGTCCCTGCCCTACTCAGGACTGGCTTCAGTGATACTTTTGGTCCCCCCTACTACCAACAGAGGTCTTGAGGATTGGACTGTAATTTTCCTGTCTCTATCCCAATGGCTGGCTTCCAGGCCTTTGGATGGGTGAAGTATGGTATCTTGGCCCCTCTAGGCCATTTAACTCTGACTTTAACAATCTGTTCTTAGCAAATAAGACAGTTGCCCTGGACTGAAAACCACCCACTTCATTTGAGCCATACGTTCTCATGGGCATATAGCACTTCACGGGGGGATCTAGATGGCACATATTTTTTGTCTCAGCCACTGGCTTTGGGACCCACCCTCCCTACTATGGCTTCATCTCTAAATCTCAGCAGTGGGTTCTGGGTAGGCATTTGGCCCTGAGCCAGATGTCTCCATTCGTTCCATTGGCATCAGAATCCCCGGGGAGCACATGAAACAGGCTGATGCCTGTTCTTCCCTCAGTCCTGCTGAATCTGAATGTGTGAGGGGCTCTGGTAACCCCAACTTTATCCAGCTTGCAGGCGGTTCTCTTGCACACTAATGTTTGAGAACGGCCCTCTTTGAGGGTTTGATAATTCTCTCGACTCAGTTTGGTGTATCCCTGGTTGTTTAATGCTCCAAAGCATTGTCTGCCATTTTTCTTGGGTGGTGAGTTATGTGTAATCTGAATGGGAAATTGCGCTAACTGAAAAAGTGCTACTGTGTTGTCCCCAAAAGGTTGCTAATGGTCATTGAGCTTGACTTTCATTTCAGTTGGTAATCTTTAATTTCTTGTTCTCTCCTTCCTCTAAGGTATCTGTACCATGTTTTGACCAAAAACACCACAGTCACAGAACAGAACCGGAACCTGCTAGTGGAGACCATCCGTTCCATCACCGAGATCCTGATCTGGGGGGATCAAAATGACAGCTCTGTATTTGAGTAAGGGTTTCTAATGATTCTTTGTTTTTCATTTCTTCTTCCTTTGAATGTTTTTCTAAATGTATACTATGAGTCATTCCTGATGATGTCAGGATTTGACGTTAATTTGGTCTTGCCCAGATATCTGTCTCTATCTATCTATCTGCAAAAAATGTCCTTGAGACACTGTAGAAATGCAAGCCCAAAATGGGGAAGTTATGGAAATTAGTTTCTCCAGAAAAATCTGAAATGTCATGGATAATTTTCGTATAAGTAGTGTCTGATTATTTCCCCAAAGGAAGTAGAAAATGTCCTGGGTGGTTAGATTCTCTGTGAACAGACAGGACCTTGCCCTTGGGGAGTCACTGAGGGTCCCCAGTTACTGTGTTTACTGATGGCCAGGCACAGTGCTGAGCTCTTGAGACAATTCAGTTAAGTCTCCCACCTGCCCCAGGGGCAAACCCTGTTGGTGTCCCCATTTTTACTCAAGGTCACAAGGCTGGTAAGCAGTGAAACAGTGGCCGACATCCAAAGTCCATGAGTGGTTTCCCGCATTCTCAGACTTCCTAGATGAGCAGTCTTAGGCTCTTTATCTGCCTGAGCCTCAGTTTCCTCATCTTTAAGGGGGAGAGAAAAAAATTCCCTATCTGGTGCCTGATACAGAGTAGGCACTCAATAAATGACAGCAAGTGATAAGACAGGTGTCTACTGGACGGTTGAAAAGCAAAGGCCATAGAGCCATGAGCTGCCTCCCTGATAGACCTGTGTTGCCATCTCAGTGCAGGAGGGTTTGGGATTGGGTTATAACAACCACCAAACACAGGTTTCATATGTGTCTATATTCTCAATTATAAATATTGAGGCCACTTTTAAAACTCATTTTTAAAAAGTAAAGGTGTTCCATTTCTACCCTGGCTTCTTATTAGATATCCTGAATTGATTTTCATGATAGCTCTATGTTTTCATCAGTTAGGTTATCTAATAAACCAATTGTGGAAAATGCAAACTCCTTAAAATGCAAACCTGTGAACACTGGCTATGATCCCCAAAGGAAAACACGTGAGTAGTAAAGGAAGATGTTGCTCATAAATGGGACTAGCTTCCTTTAAGGATCCATGAGGAATTTATTTATTTGTATGTTCAAATCTGTTTTTGAAAATGAGAAAGACCCTTGAGTCAAAGATTAGAAACTGTGTCCCCTTTACTAGAATGGACTTAGTCCATCTGTAATCTTAGAAAAAACTCCTGAGCTCTTAGAGTCCCTCTGATTCTTAAATAGCTGCCCAATGGATTCCCCAAGAAAATTTTGTTTTTAATAAATCTTATAATTTTAGAATAATTTTAGATTACAGAAAAGTTGCAAAGATAGTATAGAAAGTTCCCATATGCCCTTCGCCTAGTTTCCCGTGTTATAAATATTAATATCTTACATTACTGGGGTGCATTTATCAAAAATAAGAAACTGACGTTGGCACATTACTATTAAGTAAACTCCAGCCTTGGTTTGGATGTTGCCAGTTTTTTCATTAACATCCTCTTTCTGCCCCAGGATCACATATAAGCTCCAACAGTGCAGTTAGCCATCACGTCTCGCCAGTCTTCTCTGGTCTGTGACGGTTTTCAGGAATGCTAGCCACTTCTCCGGTCCCCCAGTCTGGATTTGTCTGATGTTTTTCTCCTGACTAAATTGGGGGCTACAGGGAGATTGCTGGAAAGGGGAAGTTCCCCTCTCATGCCATCAGTGGCAGGGCATGCTTGGTGTCCATGTGGCATCCCTGGTGCTGTTAACCTTCATCACCCAGTAAAGGTGGTGTCTGCCAGGTTTCTGTCCTATAGAGTTACTCTTTCCACCTTCCCTGTGCTATTCCCTAGAAGACAGTGACTAAGTCTAGCCCAACTTTTCAAGATGAGGGAGTGGGAATTAGGCTCTACCTTCCAGAAGCCAGGAGTACATATATTATTATTTGAAATTCTTCTACATGCAAGATTTGTATCTTTTCTCCTATTTATTGTATTTTTGCAATCATTTATATTTATTGATATGGACTCATGGATATTTATTTTATACTTTGGATTATAATCCAATACTGTGTTATTTATTTTGATCCTCAAATTGCTTTGGCTTTGGCTATTGGGGAAGCTCTTTCAGGTTGATCCTTGTGTCCCTTTGACAAACTTTGGTCCTTTTGAGCATTTCCTTACTTCTTGGTATTATAAGATGCTCCAGGCTCTTCTTATATTTTCTCTGCCCAGTCCTAGAATCAACCTTTTTTCTAAGTTTTTCTTGCTCTTCTCCCCTAGAGAGTTTTTAAAGATTGCGGCGTGTGGATTTTACACTGGAGATACTGAATCAATCCCTGGGGCAAGTTCCTAGGTATAGACAATTTAACAAGTTCCCAAGTCGGTCACTGTGCAGCAGTGAGTTTGTTGGTGGCACTTGGGAGTCACTGACGTTTACAAGCTGAAGCGAAGGCAGACAAAATAGGCCAAATGACAGAAATACTCTGGAGGTCACTGTGAATGGTGTTCATAGGCAGATAGGCTCTCAGAGTCAGAAAGATTTTAGGGGTCTTTTTTAGGTCCTATTCATTTATGCTTTCATATATTCAAAGAGGAATTATGCAGCACTGAGCAATGCCAGGCCCGTGACCCCACCTCCGTGGCAATGATAGACGAGGCCCCAAAACCAAGTCAAGCAGCAGGCACGCGTGACTTCGGGGATTTCTTCATCATCGTCTTCTTCTTCTTTTATTTTTGAGACAGAGTCTCGCTTTGTCGCCCGGGCTAGAGTGTGGTGGCCTTATCATAGTTCACTGCAACCTCAAGCTCCTGGGCTCTAGTGATCCTCCTGCCTCAGCCTCCCATGTAGCTGGGATTACAGGCATGTGCCACAATGCATGGCTGATTTTTTTCTATTTTTTGTAGCAACAGGGTCTTGCTCTTGCTCAGGCTGGTCTTGAACTCCTGACCTCAAGCCATCATGCTAGGATTACCATTGGGAGCCACCATGCCCGGTCCCAGGGATTTCTTCTGAGTATCCCGAATAAGAGATTATCTCGTTTTAGCTTGACTGCAGAGAACACATAAACAGAAACATCATTTTCTTCCTTTAAAAAACGGCATTAGGGGGTTCTATTTCCTTCCTTTTCAAGACTAAAAGAGCTAATGTGTACCCCCAAAGCCAGTGCCCCCAGGCTGTGTGCAGACAAGTGTGCTGTCCAGAACAAGAAAGGCAGAAGCAGACTTCGGGAGTGGCTGGGGTTTCCTTACCACATCAGCACCTGTGTATTTCTTTCCAGTTCTTTCCCCTAGATAGGAAAACTACAAACTTGACAGTTTGGGGACCAAAACTATTAATATTCAGCATTATCTTATCCCTTTGCAGGGAATTCCAGTTGTCGTTTTTCTTAACACTCAAAGATTCGAAGAGCAAAGGAAAGAGGCTTATTAGTAAGGGAAACTAAGGATACAAAATATTCAGTGGAAAATGCAGCTTGTTGGGTTTACAAGCATAGATTACTGTGTGACCATTTGGTCTGCTGTCAGAAATCTGCTTCACTGCTTCCTGGAATCGGCACTGCCCTCACATTCCGGGAAGAGAGTTGAGGGGTTGCATGTTAGCCATGATGGAAGATGGCCTTTTGGGAACTGGATGGCGTGGAAGCTGAGGCCGTGTGGGTGGTGCGATCTGGCATCCGCGGGTGCCTTTGGTTGGAGGCGGGTATATGCATGTAAGGAGAGACTGATTTCAATTTCCACATGTGGAAGCAAACCATCAACCCTTTCCCGTTCTCTCCCCAGCTTCTTCCTGGAGAAGAATATGTTTGTTTTCTTCTTGAACATCCTGCGGCAGAAATCGGGCCGTTACGTGTGTGTTCAGCTGCTGCAGACCTTGAACATCCTCTTTGAGAACATCAGTCATGAGACCTCACTTTGTAAGGACATTCCTCGATGTTTGCCTCTGTACCACTGCACATGAGCGGAGTGTAGTGTGGTGTGATTTTTGTATGTCTCTGCTTACTGTGGGAATTAGTTTGCTTGGGATGCCCTAGCAAATACTACAGACTAGGTGGCTTAAACAACAGAAATTTGTTTTCTCATAGTTCTGGGGGGTAGAAGTCCAAGATCAAGGTGCCACCAGGGTTGGATTCTGGTGAGGGCTCTTCGTGGCTTGCAGATGGCCACCTTCTTGCTGCGTGTGACCTCTCGTCTGTGCATGAGTAGAAAGAGACAGAGAGATGCCTAGTGTCTCCTCTCCTTATAGGGACACCAGTCCTATCAGATAAGGGCTCCTACCCTTATGACCTCATTTAACTGTAATTACCTCCCTAAAGACCCTGTCTCCAAATGTAGCCGCAGTGAGGGTTAGGACTTCAACATATGAATCGGGGGCAGACACAACTCAGTCCCTAACACTGTGTTTATCTCTGTGTGGTGGGGTACTGTGAGAGCTAAGAGAGGGTTCTCTGCTGAACGATTCTAGGGTGTTTGCATTTCTCCTTCATGATTTGATATTAAAGGGTTGGGGTTACTGAATAATCAGCTCATGGAATAAGTATTAGAAGAAGCAGGGTGAGGAAGAACTTAACCAAAGAGCGTGCAAGGATGTGGGCTTTGGCCCCTGCCTCTCCTGCTGCAGTCCTGCTGCACGACTAGTAGTGTGTGACCCTGAGCTTATTATAATACCTGCCTCACTAAGCCCTGGTTTTTCTTTATCTGTAACAAGCAGCCCTGAGAGGCAGGTGCTGTTGGTGTCCTCATTTTAACACCAAGAAAGTGTGGGTCACTGGACCAAGGTGACAAGGCCAGAATAGAGAAAGGGTTTCATTCCAGGTGAGTTAGCTCAGGGGTCCTCAACCAGGGGTGCTTGTGCCCCTAGGGGACATTAGACAATGTCTAGAGACATCCTTGGGGTTGCTACTGGCATTAGGGGATAGAGGCTAAGGGTTCTACTACACATTCCACAGTGCACCGACAGGACCCCCCAACAAAGAGTTATCCAGCCCTTCGTGTCAACAGCACCGAAGTTGGGAAACTCAGGTTTAGCTCCTAATCCTCTGTGCTTAACCACTAGCTTTATTATTCCAAGATCACTATGCTAAGCCTCGGATCCTGCTCACAGGAAGTAGGGGAGAGGCCAGCGGCTAAATGTCTGTATCAGAGGCAAACTCTAGGTCTCCCGGACAGGTTTGAAAAATGCGTTCAGTGTGTGGAAGGAGGTAGAGATGGGGCATCCCTCCAGGTGAGGAGGAGAGGAAGGAGCTGCTGAGTGGTGGCTCTCTTGGCAGTGGCCACCAGGTGGTGCTGCTGCCTTGGAGATGCCTTACAGACCACACTTGAGAAATGCGGGCTGACTCCTGTCTCCCTACGTGGTTTCCCTTGATACTAATTCCTGTTTTGCTGGATCTGAAAGAAGTGTGGTTTCTGGAAACTCTGAGAGGGTAAGCCCCAGCTCAGGGGCGCAGGCCCTGGACTCAGACTGCACCAGGTCCCTAGCAAGACCGAAGCAGGTCCACGCTCCCTGCTTGTGTCAAGCGGAGATAGTAGTAGCTGGGGATAGAGGGCTTGAGGAGTAGACATGAGAGCAGGTGTGCAGAGCTTAGCTTGGGGCCTGGCAGGTGTGATGCGCCCATGGTGTCGGTGCTGTCACTGCAGCCCCTCAGTGGCTCTTCTCTGGTGACCCTCTCCGAGCCCAGCTAGGCACAGGGCTGCTGGACTAAAGATGGGGCTTGGGACAGTCAGAATTCTGGCTTTTTAAGAGTTTCTCTGAATTTGCATGGCTTTTCTCTTTTGCATTTGCATGGCTTTTCTCTTTTGTGTATATTTTAAGGTGTACAACTTGATGATTTGTTTTACATATACATGGTGAAATAATCACCACAATCAAATAATTAACATATCTGTCACCTCACGCAGTTACCTTTTGTGTGTGGAGTGGAAATACTTGGGATCTACTTTCTCAGCCAATTTTAAGTATATAATACAGTATTGTTGGCTGCAGTCACCGTGCTGTACATTGGATCTCCAGAATGTATTGATCTTGTGAAACTAAAACTTTGACCAATGTCTCCCTGTTTCCCCTTCCTCCAGCCCCTGGTGACCACCACTACCCTCTGCTTCTATGAGTCTGACTATTTTAGATCCTACATATAAGCAAGATCATACAGCATGCATGGCTGATCATGCAGCATGCGTGGCCTTTCTTATACTGGGACCAAAAAGGGTTTCCCCACTGTGAGAAACCCGGGCAGATGTCCCTTGCTTCACAGACAGTTCACCAGGGTGCCTTATAAGCCCTGCAGAAAGAGCAGGAATCATGGCTTGTTTACAGAACTTGGATTTGCAAGGAGTGAGGAGGATAGATGACCTTTGTTTTAATTTTTATTTTCTCATCATGGAAAGAAAATGTCATTATTGTAAAACAACAACAATAAGCCAAGCATTAGGAAAATACAGAAAGTCAAGTTTCCATAGAATCTCCCCCAAATAGTTCATTGTACACAAATCATTTTGCTGTTTGCTCCCCCCCCCAATCCTCTCATCTTCTCATTGTCCCTTCACATAACCCTGCCTGACTGGGCTCAAGAGCTGTATCTTGCTGTGCCATAATCTATTTAACCTGACCGTGGGCATTTAGGTGGTTTCCAGTTTTTCATTATTACAAGCAGCTATTTCACAAATGCACCTGTTGCCTGTTGGGTTTGGTGACCTAAGTGATAGCGTCCCGAGAGACTGAGATTACTTACAGACTCCCGGGTTTATTAGAAAAGGACACCACAGAAAGTCAGCCACACAGTGAGGGGGTAGCAGAAAAATCCCAGCTCAATAATAGAGGCACTGCCACTGCCCCCATGTGGTCCCCTGCCACCCACGGAGTAATCTCTTGGAGGCCCTGGAAAAGTCCCTGCTGGGGAGTAGATGGAGCCTGTGGCTGTCCCAGCTCCAGAGGTTGCAGCCGAGAGACCCACTGTTGCACATCTGAAGCACCTAGCATAGGCGTCTGTGCTGCTGGTGGCCCGGAAGCCACTAACCAGTCACAACAGGGCTCAACAAGACGTCCCAACAGTCCCTTCTCCTGCCAGCCCACCGCCCCTCCCCACTTGCCCCTAGCCACAGCCAGAATGACACGAAATGAGAAAGAAGTGCTCCCGGTATCAGAATCACCTGGGATGCGTGTTTCAAGCTAGATTCTAGGTAGATAAATACATTGTAGACTATTTAGAGAATGAAGTACTATATAGCAAAAAAAAGAAAAGAAAAGAAAAAAATATATATTGCTACCATTATACGTGGAGTGACATGGATTACCCTCAGAGTGGGGATGAGCAAGAGAGTCCAGACCCAGGGCACATCGTACTGTGAAGTTCAAGAGCAGGCAAAACGGGTCTATGGTGATAGAAGTCAGAATAGGGTTGCCGTTGGGGCAGGCGGTACTGAGTGGGCAGGGGTGTGAGGAGCCCTCTAGAGAGCTGGGAAGGCCACAGGTCTGAGCTGGGCGGTGCTGACACAGGCTGTGCAAATGTTTGTGAGGTATATGTATGTATATGAAAAGATACATATGTACATGAAGTACATACATATGTACTTCAAGTGAGTATGTATATTTCCACGTATATCACACTATGCACTTAGGGCTTGTGATATATGTAACCTCATTTTTAAAAACATTGAAACTTTTAGGACCCCATTCCAAACCCACTGACTCTTCCCTTGGAACAGGCCCCAGGAGCTGCCTCACGAATTATTATAATCAGGAGAATTTTGAAAACCATTCTTCTAAGACTGCAGACCACATGCCTGTCTGCCATGCCTGCTCAGGACATGCACAGTGGCTTTCCCAGAGAACCAGCCTCCAAGGAGGACCCTTTCATGGGCCCATGCCATGGCTTATCACTGTCCTGAGCTCCTAGATAGCTCCTTGTGTTGTTTTTGGTGATTCTAAATGTACTTCAATAATACTTTGATTGGCCGGGTATGGTGGCTCATGCATGTAATCCTAGCACTCTGACAGGCTGAAGAGGAGGATTGCTTGAGGTCAGGAGTTTGAGGTTGCAGTGAGCTATGATGATGCTACTGCACTCTGGCTCAGGTGACAGAGTGAGATTCTGTCTCAAAGAATACTTTGACCTAAGTTAGGTACCTCGTTGGCTCCCAGCAACTTAATGGTTAATTTCCTACTTACCCAAGAGCAACTGTGTTCAGTCCTGGGAATGTGGTAGTTGAGATTCTGAATGTCCAGAAATAGTAATAAGAATAATGGCAGCCAACATCATGGAGTGCTTACTTTGTGCCCCATACTGTCCTGAGTGCTTTTTGTGCATTGTCTCCTTTAGTCCTTACCACAGCCCTGCGAAGAAGGTACTGACTGCTATTCTGTTTTCTAGACAAGGAAACTGGGGAGTGGGCAGGGTCAGCAGCTTGCCCAGGGTCACCCAGCTAGGAAGTGGCAGAGGTGAGATGTGGACGCAGGCAGGGGGTCCAAGTCCACATTAGAACCCAGTGCCTCCCGAACACCAGCATGCCTGGGGAGCCTGCAGGCTTATTAACATACAGACCTGACTCTGCCTAGGTCAGGGTGGGGCCCAAGATGCTGCGATTCTGATAAGCTCCAGGGGATGCTGTGCTGCCAGTCTGAGGACTAGACTTTGAGTAGCGAAGCCCTGAACCATGCCACCCTGCTGCCTCACCTGTAGTGCAGGTGTCGATCATGTTCTGCTTTAACTGTCTGTGGGGAGGCAGGTAATCTGGTGTACACCAGCAGCCCAAAGGGCAGACAGTGGGACCGCCGTGCCTGCTTTGCAGGGTGGCTGGTGAGAACTCAGAGGGGAACGTGCCCAGCAAGGGGTCAACACCAAGACTAACGATTGCAGGCCACAGGCTGCAGCTGCCAATAGCTTTGCTCTTGCTGGCCAGCACAGCTTCAAAAACTAGTTTATTCAGTGGCGAGCATTTTAAGATCTGGAGATGCAGCATGAAAATCTGTGGCTTCCAGCCTCTCTTCCACAGTCAGAAGCTCTCGTCATGCTGGGTCTGCATTTCGGCAGGGCTGGAGGCTGGGAGCTGGGGAGTGGGGACCGTTCTCCAGTTGCTCATCACCCAGTTTCCATTGTAGGCCCCTGTTAGTACATGACAAACACAAGCTGTGACGTTAGACCTGAGTTTGAATCCCTTCTCCGTGACTTACTGTCTCTGTGTCCTTAGGCAAGTTAATTGACTTCTCCCAGCTGTTTTTGCTCATCTGCAAAATGAAAGATGATCATAATGTAGAGCGCTCAGCCTGGTGCCAGGCCTGTTATAGGGGTGCAGCATAAAGTGACCTTTATGAAATCATGTTGCTATCTAAGGAAGGAAAAAAAAACATGTGTAGCTCTTTGTGGCATTCAGGGATGATGATGTGTTTTGTGATGGCAAAATGGGGCAGCTTTTTTTTTTTTTTTAATTTTTTTTCTTTTTTTACGTAACCTAAACATTTGTAAGGGGCAGCTTTTTATACAACACAGTGACTTTTACCCTCATCCATGGGTGGTTTGTGAGAATGCCCAGGCACTGACTAATCTTCCCCACCCCTGGCTCTTTGCCAAACTTTGGTTGTAATGAAAAGAAAATGTTTGAGTGTCTTTTTCTATTTGGCGTGGGAGGGAGGGGAAGGACTTTTTTCTGGCAATGCCTTTGAACTTTCTGGTGACTATGCATAGTACATGATTTCTTTGCTGGTTAAAGGTTAAGCCGCTCTCTGTTAGTTTGTTTAATCCCATCAACCCAGAAGCTTCACTGATTCAAGTACATGAACATGGTCATCTGCTTGTTACCTGACATCCTTTGCTTATCTTTCCTCCAGCATGAGTTAACCTGTCTGTTTTGCTTTGTTTTTTTTTTTTTCCTCCCTCTAGATTATTTACTCTCTAATAACTATGTAAATTCAATCATCGTCCATAAATTTGACTTTTCCGACGAGGAGATTATGGCATATTATATATCATTCTTGAAAACGCTTTCGTTAAAACTCAACAACCACACTGTTCATTTTTTTTATAATGAGGTGAGTAACTGCCAGAGGGGCACATTTGGGGGTGAAGCTAAACCAGTGGTAGCAGGGCCATCTGGGTGGTCTTGTGTCTGTTTACAAAGCACTTACAAACCCACTGTCACTTTTCACAGACACTGTTTGACTTTGGCATGCTTTAGAAACATTTTGTTTTAATTAAGCAAGTCGCCTTTCTATTTTTAATGTAAAATTCAATTTATGCTAAGAGCATTATACTTGGCAGAAAGGAGAAGTGCCTAGAAGTTGTCTTGGGGTTGTGTTGCTCTGTGGGAAAAACAGGAATTTCAGTCAGGCCTGGCTTTGCCACTTTCCTGCTGTGTGACCTTAGGGAAGTCCCAGTTCCTGTCTGAGCCTCAGTTTCCTCATCTGAGAAATGGGGATAAGAATATATACCTTGTAGGGTTTTCAGAGGTTAGATTAAATGAGATGATGTTTTCAAAGCATCTAGTATGTACCTGGCTCCCTAAAATCACAGATATTGCTATTCTTTACAAGCTAATGTCCCTGGCATTCCTTGGGAAAATTATTAGTGACTTAAATAAATGAATTACAGTTGCTCTCACAATTAAAAGAAGCTTGAACAATGAGGTCAGTTTATCTCACATACCAAAAAAGTACAGACACTGGCTATGCTGGGGCTTGTTTATCCGGTGGCTCAACCACATGAGCAAGGACCCAGGCTTTTCCGTCTTCCTGTTCTGCTGACCATACAATGGGCATTGTCCTTGGGTTCAACCCCAGCCAACCTGGTCACAGGTTGGCTGCAGCAGCTCCAAACGTCACATACTCAAGTGCCACTGCTGAAATGCCTGATGAGACCACTTCCCTTTTTGTGTCACCTTTTAACTTCCAAAAACCCTTTCCCAGAAGTCTCCCACCAGATTTCCTGTCATATCTCACTGGTCAGAATTGTGTCACATTGAATACTTCTTAGGTGTCAGGTGCTGAAGCAAGCACGGACTAGAAATGATCTATTTTAATCGTAGCAACCATGAAGTGGATGTTATTACCCCCATTTTGTAGATGAAAAAACAGAGGCTTAGAAATATTGCATCACATAACTTAGAAGTGGTGGAACAGGAAATGAACCTAGGTCTGACATTCCTGGACTCTTTTCTATTTCTTCCATGGCTTTGCCTCCCCCTGTTCTACATCGTCCACTGGGAATGAAGCACTGACTTAAAGTTCACATTGGCAACCTTTTTTTTTCTTTTACTGAAGTCTCTGCTAGAATTCAGAAAGCTGGGGTGGGGACAGGCCTGGCTGACAGGTTTGTAAGTCCTTTTTGGTACTTTTTGTTTTAGCACACCAATGACTTTGCCCTGTACACAGAAGCCATCAAATTTTTCAACCACCCTGAAAGCATGGTTAGAATTGCTGTAAGAACCATAACTTTGAACGTCTATAAAGGTAAGTTTCCTCGTGAGCTCATGCCTTGGCCGATTTCTAGCTTGGCAGCCTGTGTCTGTGCATACAGTTCTCTGACAGCAACTAGGGAGCTTGTTTATTCTAAGCCGTGGCTGCCTGTCTCATGCAGGACTTGCAGCCATCGACCGTTTAGCTGGCCCCTCACGTAAGTCTTTGTACCACTGCCTTCTCCGCGCATGATAAAAGTCTTTCTCGGTGCTGCTGCACAGAAATAGGCTGCCCTGAGAGAGGCATGCATGGGATTCCAAGTGGCCATGTTAGAGTTAGATGAAGCAAAGTTGTCTTTTACATGTTAGATTTAAATTTTTACGTTTTGGCTTGTAAAATATACTTAAATATACATGGGGATAAGTTTATCCTTAAACTTTAAATATTGTGTAAAAGCGTGTCACGTTGTGAACAGCAGGGGGCAATATTGTATTCCCAACCTGCTGCAGAGCCTAGTGCCAACAAACTCCTTTCTTGCAACGTGTACTTCATGCCCAAAACATTGATTGCCTCCAGGAGAAAGTGCAGGGCCCTATGCCTGCACCGCCACTAAGGCTGGCCGGCCACAGGTTTCCTGAACTGGACTCGCCCCTCCAAGGTGATGCCTTGGAATTTCTCTGCCTGAGGCCCGGCTTATTTCTCCGGTAGTCACCACACTGGAGCTGGGACCCCATTTTCTCAGGGATTGGAGGGCTTTGATTTTCACCAGTCAAGATGTTATTACTTGAGATGACCCTAATGGGGGAGGGGTCCTCAGGCACTCCCTCCAGCCTAGTCCTGGGCTTACATTAAAGAGCCTTGCTGAGAGCCCGACTGGACCCACCCACAGGTCGCAAACTGAGGGCCCGGGGGCCGGATCCAGCCCTCACACATATTTTAATTGGCTTAGCTATATATTTAAAAAAATATATAGCTGCCAATATTTAAAAATTGGGAGATCTTGTGTGATAATCTAGATTGCTAATATTTCAAAATTGGGAGATCTTGTGTGACAATTGGATTTCTGACTTTAAGATGTAAATTCCGCTATTCCGGGCCTGTGTTCTTACAGGGCAGGGGTCAGCTGACACAGAGAGGCAGCCGCCCCCTCTGGGGTTGAGGCCCAGGCGCCCAGGTCACACGCTGGGCCTGCCACCTTCACTCACTGGGCCACCAGCCAACCCGGCAGGCTTCTAAGTTTGCGACCCTGGTCCAAGCCACAGTTGGTTGCACTGCCTCCTGCACGCTGTTTTCTCTTGTTCTCTTTTAACCTGTATCTTTCGGTTTAGATGCCTCTGGCCCTAGCTGTCTGTCCCCTGAGCAGCTGCCTCGCCTTCCCAGTTCCTAACCCTGTTAACTGTTGTCTGTTTTTTGCCTTTCCTTCAATGACGATTCCTGTGTTCCTTATTCCAGTGTCATGTAAGTTATTAACCTCTGGTTTTCCGCTTTCTTAACTTATCCTTACATGTAAATACAGGAAACTTGCTTGAGAGTGGTGTAATTTGCAATGTAGTCTAGCTCAATCTACTGCTGCTAAGTATGCTCTCCAATGCACTATTAATGTTTAGCCCAACTAATTTATTTTATTAATTATAAAAATAACATAAGAACTGCCTTGATGTGTATAGTTTTATGAATAAGATAAACATTTTTAAGTAGTTCCAGGAAAGACAGACAATTTCAGATTATAGCAGAGGGCTTTTTCATTGTGGTTGTTTTGTTTTGTTAAAATGTCTTCCAAGTTATTTTTAGTAGCTTGACTGATTTTTCCTTTTGTGAATTTTCTCAGTGGATAATCAGGCCATGCTGCACTATATCAGAGATAAAACGGCTGTCCCTTACTTTTCCAATTTGGTCTGGTTCATCGGGAGTCACGTGATCGAGCTTGATAACTGTGTGCAGACTGATGAGGAGTAAGTGATGCCCCTGGGTTTGTTCAGGAGGTAGACAGGTGGGTAGGGGGGGCTTCAGTTTTCCCTGAGGACAAATAGACATGAGAACAGGACTTACCTAACTATGTGTAGGCAGAACATGGACTTCCACCCAGTAAAAGGTTCTACCCACCTGTTTATGACAGTAGGAAGTTGGAAACAACTCAAATGCATCCCAGAGGGATAGGGTAAATAAATTCGGCATACCCAGAGATGGGGTTGCTCCACAGCTGGTCACAAGATTAAGGTGCTCCGTCAACTGATGAGTGAATAATTAAAGTGTGGTGTATCTGTACAATGGAATAGTATTTGGCAGTAAAAAGGAATGAAGCACTACATGTGCTCTGATGTGGGTGAACTGCAAACACTTTATGCTCGATGAAAGAATCCAGGCATGGAGGACCACGTGTCATGTGATTCCATTCATGTGAAATGCCAGAATAAGCGAACCTATGGAGACAGAGTAGGCCAGTGGTTGCTGAGGGCTGGGGGAGGAGGGCAGCGTTGGGAGGGGGAATGGGAAGCGACTGCGAGTGAGTATAGGGCTTTTTGTAGGGAGTGTGAAAATGTTCCCAAATTTATTGTGGTGATGGTTGGGATACTGTGAATACTAAAAACCATTAAATTATATATTTTAAAGGGTAAATTTTATGGCATATGAATTTATATTTCAATAAATCTGTTTAACAAAAGAGATTAAGATGTGATTCTGTCCTTAGAGTGGTAAATAGAAGTTCCAGAACAGGATTTTTCTACTTTGGCACTACTGACTTTTTGAACTGGGTACTGTTGTGGGCGCTGTCCTGTGCATTGTAGGATGTTTGGCAGTATCTGTGTCCTCTACCCACTAGATGCCAGTAACACCCCTTCCCCAGTCGTGGCAACCAAGAGTGTCTCCGTACATTGCCAAATGTCCCCTTTAAGGCAAAATCACCCTCAGTTAAGAACCACTGTCCCAGAGTGGCACTTGCCCAGGTATGGTAAGAGGTAAACTTAGGTAGAGTCAGGACACTAAAGGGATCTAGGAATGAGGTCTCCTAGAGGGAGGGGAGCTAGACAGATAGAGTATTAGATATGATATTGGGCCAGGCGTGGTGGCTCACGCCTGTAATCCTAGCACTCTGGGAGGCCGAGGCAGGAGGATCGCTCAAGGTCAGGAGTTCAAAACCAGCCTGAACAAGAGCGAGACCCCGTTTCTACTAAAGATAGAAAGAAATTAATTGGCCAACTAAAAATAGATAGAAAAAAAGGAGCCAGGCATGGTGGCACATGCCTGTAGTCCCAGCTATGGGGGAGGCTGAGGAAGGAGGATTGCTTGAGCCCAGGCAGTTTGAGGTTGCTCTGAGCTAGGCTGACGCCACGGCACTCTAGCCCGGGCAACAGAGTGAGACTCTGTCTCCAAAAAAAAAAAAAAAAAAAAGATCTGATATTGGGAAAGAAGCAAGGGTAGACTGATGGCAAATCTGACTGAGCATTTGGGAAAATAAGAACCCTTATGGATATGAAGAGTCATGGACATGAGACACAAGGAGGCATTTCCCTCCAGAAAGAACAAAGTGATACAAGGAAGGAAATCAAATCATAGTCTTCTGTTTGGCTCTGCAGTAAATGTTATGAGAATATCAACCCCAATTACTGTGGACAGGAAGGGGCAGAGGGAACTCGAAGAGTTCTGTTGTGACAGGAGTTCAATGGATAATATCCAAAATGACTCAATTGCGCAAGGAAGCCCATGCAGATTTTACAGAAATAGGGGAAGGACTATCTGCAGAAACAACCAGAAGTGTTCTCTGCCTCCTCTGGAGAGCGGGTAGAAGTAGGGGAAGCTGGACCAGGAGCTGCTATTTCTTGTTATTAGCTTACCAATCCTATCTTGAGTTTTAAAGCCATTTGCATGGATTACTTTGATAGTTTTAAAGCTAAAGTATTGAAAAATAAGGTGCATGGAATATCCCAATAAAGAAAATTTTCCAAAGTATCTCCTTAATTGGAGAAGAAGTGCAAAACACGGTGTCTAAATGTTCTAGGTCTCAGGTGCATGGTGGGTTCATAGGTGCTCGTTATGCTATTAGGCTTTAAACGTGTGTTTGCTATAAATACTAAATATCTCATTAAAGCATAAAAGAAATAATTATCCAAAATTATGTAAAAGAAGCAAAATTGATCCTTTTTATCCTTTTTTTTTAAAAAAAGCATATGTTAAATGGCTAGATAGGTGACACTTATATTTTAGAAGTGACTGTAGAGAGAGGTAAAAATGTGGAAAAAAGAGACTGTAGAGTCATAAGACCCAAAATGTTAATAGTGAGTATCTGTTAGTGGTGGGATTATAGGGGGCTTTGGTTTCTTTTTGATTTTATTTTTTTCTTTAATTTTCTGTTTTCTAAAATGACAGTCTATTACTTGGGTAATAATAATAATACAAACAAAATGTCCTGCCCTAGCTAGATGGCTCTCAGGTGCATGGTGGGTTACTGCTTTGGGGGTGGTGAAAGTGTGACTCCATCCAAGAGACCCACCCAGCATGCCTATGGCTAACTACATGGAGACAGAGATGACCAGAGCAGGGGCCTGGGGGAGGGATGTTGTGTCCTTGCTCTATGTCCTGCCTATTGGTGGGGGGTCATGGCTGCTGAGGCTGCTTTTCTCTTCAGAACTCCTCTGGAGCATTTTAATTGTCAAGGATTTATTGCTCCATTAATACTGCTTATCTGGGGACCCAGGGGCATCTTGCCACATTAGCTAGTGGCTACTCTCGTGCAATAGCTTGCTATAAGAGCTTAGCTGATTTTTGCTTTGTTTATCCCATTTTGGGGAGGCTGTGGTGGTGGGAGGGGTGGTACTGAGGTCCCCCAGAGGGTGGGGGGACCCTGGTAATCCCCTAAAATTTATTGCAGTAGACCTGTCCATTTCCCTTTGTATATCTCCCCAGTAGGGGCCAGGATAGGTGTCTCTTGAGACTAGCTCAGATATTGGTTGCATGAGTGAACCCCCAGTGACCTAAGCTTCAGGCCATTGATTTTAGACCCAAAGACTCCAGGCTGAGGTGGTGGTTTCTCTTGGCAGGCACCGCAATCGGGGGAAACTGAGTGACCTGGTGGCTGAGCACCTGGACCACCTGCACTATCTCAATGACATCCTGATCATCAATTGTGAGTTCCTCAACGATGTGCTCACGGACCACCTGCTTAACAGGCTCTTCCTGCCCCTGTACGTGTACTCGCTGGAGAACCAGGACAAGGTGCGTCTGTGGGGCCTGGCCCCGTTACTCCTGCTGGCTGCAGGCTGTCTTCAAAAGTGGGAAAGAACAGCCACCTTGAATGGGGCTGAGCTTTGCAAGGGACCAAGGTTTTGAGCCTGAGGGAGATTCCTTTCAAAGAACACTGATCTGGGCTGGGACCAGGGATCTTGAGCTGTAGGGGCATCTTGCAGGGGCAGCCCTGCTTTGGGGAGGGGAGGCCTCACTCTGTCCAGTCCCTCCGAGGTTAAGGGGGCTGAGAGAAGGATAGCAGAGGCCCCAGCAGGAGGCAGGGCAGAGCCAGCTGATCACCCTACACAGATGTCCCAAGGGGATGTAGTTTTCTTGTGGGAGATGGAACATGAGGATTCTCACTACAAATAAGTAAATGAAAGAAAAGTGCTACCGTCATTGGCTCAAGCAGAGGTAGCCCTGGGAGGCATTGACAGAGCACGGGAATTGGAGTTTTCAGACTGGGGTTCAAATTCTGCCTCTCCCCTTTCCTAACCCTGTGACCTTGGACAAGGTGGTTAACCTCCCTGAGCCTATTTCTTTGGCTGCAAAATGAGGGTCCTGAAGATCCCTCCCTCATTGGGTTGGTGTGAGATGGAGCATCTTGAAACTCAGTACAAACGAGGGGCTTTTCCAAGGCCAGAGTGCCCCAGAATCTCCCTCCCCAAGCTTTTGAAAATGCCTTCCTGAGAACAGTCCTCAGGGGGCCTCTCCTGCTGGGGCTTTTGTTGCCCCACCTGGGGAAATGCACGTTCTTGGTAACTTGAGGAGCAAGTTCTTCTATTGAATTGCCCTCTAATCTATGACTAACGGGGAAAGATTTCTTAGGTGGAAAACAGAGGCATTGCAACAGTGTTGAGTGGGATTCAGACCTTTGGCTAGCGCCATGAAGGGGCAGCCTGAGGGCCATGGAGGACGTCAGAGGGACGGGTGCCTCTGTTCAAATAGATGGCTCTTGGCTTTGTGTATTTTGTGGTGCTCACTTGTGTGACCTGGACCTCTCTCTCCTCCTGCCCCCAACCTTTACCAGGGAGGAGAACGGCCGAAGATCAGCCTGCCGGTGTCCCTCTATCTTCTGTCACAGGTATGTGTGGTCATTCGTCAGTGTCCAAATCGCATTTGGGGTCCCTTGGAATGCTGCTGCCGCACGGAAGACCCCCCAGGTCCCATTGCCACATCTTCTCTCTCTGTGTCCCCCATCTTGAGATACAATAAAAAGAAAGGGGTGTTCTGTTTTTGAGAAGACATTCAGTAGGGGTGGTATCTATTAATATCTTCTTTATGGTAGGGGATGGAAATTTAAAGAGAAATGTAAAATAAATTAAACTTGGCACTTGTGTAGTTGATTTTTACCATGGGGACTGAGGTTTCCAAAATAACAGAGGAAAGCTCTGAATACCCTGGAAATGTGGGCTACACAGCTCTGATTCACAGTACTTTGTAATAACCCCAAAACTGCAGGGCCCGTAGCGCATATACACACAGCATCCTTGGTTTGACAAACTTCCTGTAATGAGGCTATTTTTAAAGGATTTTTGTCATGGTTCTAGTTCCCAGATTACCTTCTGGAAGGTCTCTTATAGCAGCCTCAGTTCCTAGATTTGTGTCTTGAGCCAATTTGTCTGCCTCCCGTCCTTAAACAAGTGTGTTTCCTTCTTATAATTATGTAATATTTACAAGAAGGGAAAAACTCCATGGTGACCCAGTTACATAACTTTAAAAATATTTTTATTACAAGCAGTCCAGACTCTCAGGCCATCTCATTAGACTGTCAAGTAGTCAAGCATTTGACCAGAGCTCTGTTCCCACTTCTGCAGTGGCACAGGTATTTATTTGCTTTGATGAGAGGCTGTCCTTCTGACTTAATCCCCAGCTGTTTCAAGTTTGGGGCAGGATTATCTCCCCTTGGCCTGAGAAGAGAGATGCAGAGGCCGCCTCTTGCCAGTGGGCTGGCCGAGGCGGCCGTGGCCTGACCACGGTTCACATCCTGGAGTCTTGTTCAGGGGGCTCTTGTTTGCTCAGAGCTGTGCACTGTGCCGGCTCTGTCTGAATGCCCCTCTGTGCAGCGGGGCACAGCACAAACTCCAGCCTCTCCTGGCAGAGCTTTCTGCTGCCTCCTTACAAGTCTGCCAGCATCTCCTGCTTGGGATTCTGGGAGTCTGGCAGGCCCTGAGCAGGCCAGTTGCTCAGCCCCAGGAGTCACGTGGAAAGAAAGCATCCTCAGGATGCTTTGGCTGTTGGAGTGTCACACAGGCAGAGTCTCCTCCGGGGAGCACAGCTGCCAACCCTCCACGGCTCGTGCTTTGGTGGACAGGGGTTATACCTTTTCTCTGAGAACTTTTTCTCCTGTTTTCTTCTTGAAGGACCAATAGCCCTGGCACATAATTACTTATTTCACTATCTCACAAAAAGCATAGGTTACAATTCGGCATTCCTCAAACTTGAGTAGAGATCCCTTTTAAATACCAAAAAATCTTGAATCCTTCCTCCCCCTGCATATTTTCATTTAACTTAGTTATATAGTGACCTAGATGTGTGAAACCTAAAGTCAGGTATAAATCCTGTGACCTTAAAGTCCCTACATCACTATAAAATCAATGCACACTTTCAAGTTATTTTACAAGCACAGCTCCCAAACCATGACAATTCACAGTGACGACATTGATTCAGTGTACCCGGGGACACTGTCCTCCTAAAACTACAGCGTTGCTCACAATGAGAGCCTGGTGTGGGCAGCTGACCCAGCTCTTTGAGTCTGGTGTGCGCTCACTTCCATGTGCCCTGCAGTGACCTGCCCTCCCCTTGTCCCAGTTCGGAGCCAGGAAAATGAACACTGTGTGTGTCCACAGGCAGGAATTGGTTGGCTTTTATCAAGGGCGATAGGTGCTCAGTGAAAGTTTGTGGATGGAGTAAAAGAATGCATAAGGGATCAGTTAAGGCCGCTTTCAGACAAGGCGCACAACAGGTATTTATGGAATGAATGAACTCAGTGACGGGGGTTTTGCTTGGTGAAGTGTGGCAGTAATTCAGACATGACGAGATGAGAAAAATCATTGACATCTTCGTCATCATTGCTGACGTTTGGGTGCCTGCCACAATCCTGGACGTGGGTTAACTCACTGGATCATGCTGTACAGTCTCAATGATAGCGAAGGTCTCCCTAGTATTTTAAAAACAGATGCACTTTTTTTTTTTAAGATGCCATATTTGGCTATTCTGCCTGTACTTTTTATTTAATTTGAATTGTATTTATTTGTTTGAATAGTATATTACCCCCATCCAAACAGTATAAAACATGACTTGGGAAAAAGCCTCCCTCTTAGCCTCCCCCTGGGCACCCAGCCTCATTCCCCGGAGGCAGCCCGTGTTAATTTCTACTTGTACTTATTTATTTTATTTTTTCTTATTTTTTATCTTTTTTCTTATTTTTTTCATTTTTCTTTGTATTATTCATCTTGCTTCTGTAAGTACGTTTTTTTAAAACAATATTTATTTTTTAATAAAAAAAGTTTTTAAAGTTAAACAGTTCAAAATAGGTAAAAACTAGGTTTCTTTTCTAGTTTTGTTTGGGCTCCTGATTTCTATCCCCAGAGTAAACTGTAGTTACAGGTTCTCATGTGTCATTCCAGAGACATCTTTGCCAGGGGTTTCCAACTGGGGGTGATTCTTCTCCCCTACCTCAGGGAATATCTGGTGAGGTCCAGAGATGTATTTAGCTGTCATGAGTGAGGGAGGGGGTGCTGCTGGCATCTAGTGGGGGAGGGTCAGGGATGCTGCTGGCCAGCCTGCGGGTGTACAGGACAGCCTCCTGCAACACAGGTTTATAGCCCCAAGTGTCAGTAGTGCCAGAATTGAGAAACCCTGTTCTGTGCATACATAAACAAACAAATACGTGCACGCTTACTCTTTAACCTACACTGTGCTACACCCTGTTGCCTTTACATTTTAAAACAAAATAGCAGGTGTGTCTAGGCCAGCTTTGCAAGGCAGTTTTGAATACCCTGGTTCCTAAAGCTGTTCCTCTGAACACTGGCCAACAGGGTGGGGTAGCAGGGCCAGCTTGGACAGCGCAGAGTCCTGACTTTGCATCCTGGCACAATGGGTCTGCTTCTGGCTCATGTGGCTTTTCTTTCCCCACAATTTCCACACTTGCCAATGTTGCCATGGAATCCCAGTGTGCTAAAACCCACCGTAAGGGTCGGAGCTCCTCCCAGTGATGGAATCTCTGTGTAGGTGACCCTTTGCCAAGTCCTTGATTGGCACAAAACTCACCAGCTACTCTTCCTATATAGCTAAAGTATTGGCGTGATGCCTTCTAGTCTTGTCTTATAACTGAATTTGACACTAAAATGTCTATGGAAAGGAAAGAGTGTGCTGGTTTGGCTGTTCCTTTCCCACGTTGCTCCACTTCAGCCAGATTTGGCTTCACCCAGCCACAAGGGACAGTCTTGCATTAATGTACTTCCTTCTGAGGAAGAGCAGACAGCCAAATAGGCAACAGTCTGAAGAGGAGGCCAACTTTAGAAGAAGAATGTAACTGACTTCTGCTAAATAGGACCCATTCTTTGCATTTTGCATCACGGGAGTTGCTGCTTAATAAGGGCCTTATATAGCCCAGCCTGGTTGTTTCTGATCGGGGAAGGAAAAGGTTGAAAGACTATACCCTTGAATGCAAATCTCATTTCTTCTTTTTCACCAGGTCTTCCTAATTATACACCATGCACCGCTGGTGAACTCGTTAGCTGAAGTCATTCTGAATGGTGATCTGTCTGAGATGTACGCTAAGACTGAACAGGATGTTCAGAGAAGTTCTGTAAGTCATTAGCTTTGGGACTGTTTTCCGACCTTGATGAGAAGTCATTGCTTTGAGTTTCTCAAAAATTAGAAACTAACATTGTACTTATATGGAATGATGACGCCTCAGCTGGTCTGGGATTTGAGGAACCTAAACAGAGTCTTGAAATGCATACCTGGGAAAATCTGGGGTCCAGTACTAACAGTGGATTTGGTTTGTGGTATGTTACTAAGCATGGAATTGTACCACTCTGAGCCTCAGATTATGTATCTGTAAGACATGGTTATTGGAACAGACTGAGAAAATGCCTGGTCCAGGGCACCAATATCTGCAGAGGTTGGCAGTGAACATCCATGAATGATGCAAGCCCTGGGTGAGAGCACTAGGGAGTGGGGGGGACTGCGGCAAATTTTCGAGTGTGTTCTTCCTGTGTGAACAGTTGCTGTTCCACTCCAGCCTGCAGTCATTATTTAGGAATATGGATGTAGTATTGCCAGATATCTGTTTTCATGATTCCAGAGAAACTGGAAATCTGCACTTTTATCAATGATCTCTCTAGTTTTAAATTATTGGCGAACTTTGGACTAGATGGAGCATGTTCATGGTCTGTAGGAGCCTTGGAGTTGCATTTTGTACACTATTGAAGGAGAGCACCTGATGGGCAGTGTTGTGACTTCCCCCGAGGCTTTCTTTCCCAGCCTGCCCCGTATGTCTTGCTGTCACCCCTCCTGCCATCCTGAGCTCCATGCAACTCACTTTTCCCCCAGCACGCCCTATGTTTCTGCCTCCGCACCTGTGCCCTTACCATACCCACAGCCCGGAAGGCCCTGTGGCTGGACTCTTTCAAATATCTTACCCCCTCTAAGCTCCTTACGGCAGGCACCTCGCCTGTCATTGTATGGGCTGCAGCATGGGCTTGGCATATGTGTCAGAGGTGAGCACAGTGTGCTTTGTGCAAAGGCTGTTTCCTCAGGGGCCATCTCTGCAGCCAGATGCTCAGGCCACAGCCACGCTGGTAAAGGGGCCGGCTCACCCTGGAGAGACAGACACTGCTGTCATCCCTGGACGAGCGGGTGGAATGTGACCCTGGAGGTGGACAGTCACCACTGCATCGAGCACAATCACAGGAGGCCCTGCCATTCTGGATTTTTGGTGTACAGTGGTCTGGCCAGGCCATTTTGCTATTCAAGGGATCTTGAGAGCCTCTGAAAAGGTTCCCAGAAACTTTCTGTCCTTGGTGGTGGTGGCGTTAGTTCAGCGGGATTGAATGGGGCCTTTTCATGGCCCCTTTCTGGCCTATTCTTTCTTGATTTCATTGAACCAAGTGTTTATTGAACTCTTTCTTTGGCCAGGCATCATGCTGGTTCTGAGGATATACGAAATCATAAATAGTCTCTGTCATATTGGAACTTTAGAGACCAGTGGAGAGACAGATGTGGATGAAATATGCAAATCTATGTTCTAGCTCCAGTATTCTCAAGGGAAGAAGTGTTTGGTGAGGGGATGTAACCTGTAGGTGACAAGGGTGACTTGTTGAACACAAAGCCTCTCCTGGTGGTCCACCTCATGACGACACATGGTCTGGAAAATGTGCCACTGACTCAGGGTTTATGGAGCTGGAGGTACTTCTCTGCAACTTTCTTAAACGAGCATTTGCTAAATGAATGTTAAGTCATGGAATGCTGAGTCAGCAGAACCAGTGTTGCCTCCGGGGAGAGCTGCGGAGCACCCCGCCAGCTGGGTGACCTTGGGCGAGTTGTTTCTCCCCAGCTAAAGTACAGGGAGAGCAGGCCCTGCGCTGCAGGGCTGTTGGGAGGAGGTTGCAAACTGGCCCTAGACCTGTTTGGTTTGGTGTTCACCATGTTTAAAAGACAATTTTATGAATCACCAACATTAAAATTTAGAAAGAAAAGTCCAGATTTCTGGAATCTCTTGAACAGTCAGAAGATCTAGTCCCCTTTATGCATGTGTTTCTATAGGATGCACTGCAAAGGCCGCCCCATCTGAGACACATGTTTACTATTAAATTTGCCCTGTCCCCACCCAGCCCACCGCTAATAGACGCGGCACTTATGTTAGGATCTATTTGACATGTATTGTGTCCTTTTGAACTCTTTTTTTTTTTTCCACATGATTTCCAGATCCCAAGACAGCTGCTAGGGCTTCAGCACAGATTCTTTTCCCTGTAAGACACCCAGGGCAGTGCTGAAGTTAGACTCAGTGCCCTAAGAGATAAATGCAGAGATTGCTGGGGTTCTGGGGTTTGCAAGGTTCTTTAAATTGTGGTAAGTACGCTAAATGGATATCTACCCTCTTAACACATTTTTACATGTGTAATATGTTACTGTTGACTACAGGCACAGTGCTGTCTAGCAGATCTCTAGAACTCATTCATCTTGCATAACTGAAACTTTAGAAATTCCAATTCGCTATCCACTGCGCTGCAGAGCCACTTGCATAACTGAAACTTTATACCCCTTGAACAACAACTCCCCACGTCCCCTCTCTCAGTCTCTGCGATCACCAGTCTGCTCTCTGCATGAGTTTGACAATTTTAGATACCTCATATAAATATAATAATGAAGTATTTGTCTTTCTGTCACTGACTCATTTCATTTAACATAATTTCCTCAAGGTTCATCCATGTTGTGGCATGCGTCAAAATTTCCCTCTCCTTTACAGCTAAATGATATTGTGTTGTGTGTATATACACCACATTTTCTTTATCCACTTATCCATCAATATGCAGTTTTTTTAATTGAATATTTTTACCGAAAAAATTGTAGATTTGCATGCTGATATAAGAAACAAAACAGAGACCTTCCCCAGTTTCCCCGAAGGGTAACAGTTTGCAAAACTCTAGGTACAATATCACAAGCAGGATATTGACATAGATACCTGGGGTTTTCAGTCTGAGCAAAAGCAAATTGCAGAAGGTTACTGGTAACCTCTCAGCTTAAGATGTCCAATTTAGTTGAACTGTCTAATCAGAGGGAGTGTTCAGGAGATCTGTTCTTTCTTCCAATGGCCTCTTCTTGGGACACAGTTCCCACCTCCATTGCGAGAGACATACTGCCTTTGGGACACAACTGCTGATTGTAGTGGATGCCTGAACTGAAAACGAGACTGTAGTGCGGAGGGAATTGCCAGCCCACGTGCAAGTGTCAGCTTTCTACTTCTGGTTATTGCCTTTCTCCGGGTGCCAAATCGAAGTCGGTTGTATTTTGATGACTGCAGTTGAGATTCAGGAAGAGCTCGATGTGAGTCTTGTCTGCGACTTGTTTGACAATAGTCCTGGTGAGATTTACCTTCCTTCCCTGTGAGTGAGAACAGTCTCCTATTGTTTCCTGCCCAACTCGGATGTGGTTTGATCATACTTGTTTTAAGTTTCTTGGTCTTTTTTAACCTACTTTCTCCTTCCCGTAATTTGTAGATAAGTTACTGGTATTGCTTCATTTTTACCAGCAGGCCTTTCACAAAACCAAACCAAAATTGAAGAGAAAGAGGCAGAGGGGAGATCACAGTTATTTGAAAGGACTATAATTTAGGGTTAAATGGAAAACACATCAGGATGGTTAGACGAATGTCTAATAGAAATTCATCTGTGCATTGAAATCATATGGTTCCTGCTAAGGGATCATTCTTGCCACAATTCTAACGCAGAACAGATAGTGTTGCTTGTCTGGGGAAATAGAGTAGGAGGTTGCTAATTCTGAAACTGCTAACATCCCATTGTTTTTGCAGAATGGACATATAGATTATAATTTGGGATGTGCATCATTACCTATAGGTGCTTTTTTTAAAATGGGCTTTTTTTCCTTCTGGGATTCTATGGAATAGTTTCCTTGATTTTTGTATTCATTCATCCATTCCTTCAGCAGACCTCTGTCATAGACCCATGCTGAGAGATTAGAGGCAGGTGGTGCACAGGAAACACATGGCCCTGCCCTCACAGGCACTTCCCACCCCTGTGAGGACAGGGGACTATGTCTCAGAGACACCTGCATGGCCTGTGCCATCGTGGGGCTTGCCAGAGATGCTCAGGAAGTGCTCGTTGAAGGAATGAGTGGCTCAGTGGGTGAAGCGGTGGCAGTCACAGGGCTCTCGTGATGTTCTTGGTATGACTCTCAGAGCAGAAATTGCTGGCGAGCCTGCCCCTGAAATGCCACCCGCTATTGGCCTCAGAGGCAGGGTGCAGGGGAAGCAGCGTTGGAGTGGGCTGCCTTCCGTGCTGGTCCTCGCCCCACCTCCAGAGGCAGCCCGGGGGAGTGGACACAGCCAGACTGCCTGGGCTCCTGATCCTCCTTATTTTACCAGGCTCCTCAGGGCAAGTTATTCCACTTCTCTGGGCCTCAGTTTCTCGCCTCTATCATGAGAATTACAAACATGGGTTTGTGGCGAGGATTAAATGCTGTATAAACTGCTTATTCCAAACCCCAGCACACATCGAGTGTGTAAATGTTAGATGTTATCATTATAGTGACCGTAGTTCCTGAGGCTGCACAGCAGCCTCTCACCTCCTACTTGAGACCTCCCTCCCTGGGCTGGGGAGCAGTGTCTGGCCTGATGAACGTGGAAGCACACATCGTGCACCCCTCTGTGGATGCCTTCTGAGCAGACCCAAGGCAGGGAGGGAGAAGTGTTGGCAATGACAATGATGATGAAGACAGCACTAATATTAACCATTGCCATTGAGTGACAGGCTGAGCCCTATGTGTGCATTCTGTGCCCTCCACTCAGCTGGACCCAGATTTAATCTCTGGAAAGTACAAATACTTAACTGCTGATGTGCATTCCACGTGGTCAGCTGGCTGTGAATTCAGGATCTAAGGATTCTAGGGCAGAATAGGCTTGCTTGTCCCCAAGTAAGGACATTGACCATCTCTTTATTGGCATCAGTTTAGCCAGTCGGGATGGTCTCCAGATGATTCTCTGGGGATCCAGAAGAGCCAGTGCACATCTGAAATGTTAGCCACCAGTTCTCCGCACAACACCTGTCATTTCTAGCAATTGGACCC